GGTGGTGGTGGTGGTGGGGGTGCTGGGGGTGCTGGGGGTGCTGGGGGTGGTGGGGGTGGTGGGGGTGGCGGGGGTGGGGGTGGCGGCGGTGGGAGGATGAAGAGATCACAAGCAACAATGGCACTCAGATTAACACAAGCACGAGCACCAGCAGTACGCACCAGAATTGGTGCAACCAGAAAGTGATGTGGACTCCGAGCCTCTTCCACGACCAGCTCGTAGAGCGCCAGAACAGCCAAGCGGTCGAACAGGCGGCCCCGACGCCAGTTGAAGCGCACGCTGTGACCGTCCTTTTGCACCTGATCATCGGACATTTGCGCTTGCGCAAGGATTAGGCTTTGCAATTTCCGACAGCATCGACACTCATCCGACATCCTCGAACACCATGTGCCCATGTACCGCCCGCACCTCAGCCTTGATGGACCAGAAGGGCTCGGACACGAAACGCTGAATGCGCAGAAATCCTGAAGGCCACGTGCTTGCAACGCTTGACTTGAGGAGTAAGTCAGGCCAGGGAAAGCTACAGAGACGTGGAGAAGATGGAAGCTTGCTTGCCACCGCAATTGGTCGTACACCATCAGCCCGGATCGTTATTATGGTCACAGCTTCATGGCCATCATCATACGCAACATTCTGAGCTTAGTAGCATCATAATCGCCATCATCGTCATCATCATAATCATCCTCATCATCACCATCATCATCACCATCACCATCGCCATCGCCATCATCAACGACATCATCGGCAGCTCATGCATGCAACAACTGATCTATCAGGGAACTAGCACAAGATCTGCATGCATCTCCAAATGCTCCCAGTGGTCATGCGTCGTGGAAATATCGAAAGCACAGCGAGAATCATGTGTGTATTCAGGACGGTGAACACCACACCCATGCATTGCTAGTGTTGGAATATGATAGTCAATGATCGTATCACCACTTGTACGCGTCATACCCGGGGTCAGCGCCGTGATGATGACTGCCGCCATGATCGTCATGTTAACTTTTTCGTTATTACCAGAATCGTCACGTCCACCCCATCGAAACAGTAAGAGGACAAGCATCATCATCCGTTCTGACCACACAACTGCTATCGTCATTACATCGTCATCATCATCATCATCATCATCAGTTACGTCGTCGTCGTAGCCAGCGCCACCCACTGTCACAATACCTGTACGCATCAATAATTTGCTGGTCGAGGTTTGCTTGCTACTGCTAGTCATGTCCTGATTCTAATCGGGCCCAGGTGCGTTCGACGACAAAGCCCAAGGTGGGGAACTGCGCAGGCAGGGGTCAACGCATCCTTAACGCATCGAGCCCCATTGAGCATGAATCGAGCCTGGCATGGGCCATAACTCAGCGGCTGCTGGCACAGCTCTGGGAACATGTTCTGGTACCTGGCTCTGTGAACAATACACTGCACATCACATCATGCACGTCCAACAAGACGCGCACCGTAGGCTCATCCAACGCCTGGCATCCATGGCGATTGCCAAAAACTCCAACGGGGATGCGCTGAGTCGAGGGCGTAAAGGCCGATCCCGCCCGCAGATCAAAATGCTGACGTGCCTGTCGCTCGCGGCCGAGCCATGCCGAGTCCAATGCCACTGAGGCTAGCGGCTAGATGTTCACGAAGGCCTCGACTGCGTCTGCCAGCCGCTGATCCGGATCTCGCAACGTCTGGCAGGCACCTCAGCCACAAGCGGGACACGCTCCGCAGGCCGCGATCTGCAAACGATGATGTAAGTGGCACACGAACGAGATCTTGCCTTGTCAGCGCCGAGAAAACTGCCCTGAAGACCTTTTGCCGGCTCGATGCTACGGTGGCATGAAGACCGCATACGGCGACATCACGCCTGCAGCCGGCCGCCTGCTGCTCGCTGGCACGTCTCCAGCACCTTTGTTGAGAGATGAGCCGCGCACACTCTTTAAGTCTCAAGAGACACGGGCCTCGAAAGCGATGGCCTCGCCCTCCCTGTCGCAGTCCAGCCACAGCACGAGCCACCTGGGACACTGGGGAGCTCCACAGAGGCCATTGCGACAGAGCCGAGGCATCTGCTGGCACTGCCGTGCCAGGTCGGTGAGCATGAGCTCTAGGTTCTTGTTGTCGGCGGGTGCTTTTCGCTGGACCGGCACCTGCCCACGGCGTCGCAACGCATGCATGCTGCAATTCTGTGCCTCTCAGCGGCTTGGTGCCTGGAAGAGGATGGAGGGATTGTGTGCTTTCCACACACTGTATTCTGGTGGAAACCTTGACTTCACTGACTTCACTTTAGCGGCAAGACGGAGAATAACAGAAAAGAAGATCTACTCACGGGCCGGGCGGCTGCGTTTCAAGCAGATGTCCCCGGACCGCTGTGACGACCATGCGGCATTGCCTGGGATACTGAAAGGTGTTTCCTCGTTTGGAAAGAGTTCGGAGGCCCAGATGCGTCTGACGTAGTGTGAAGGGAAACTCGGTGACCGGGATTCCATGACTGTTCCGACCTGCACAGCAAGTGATGAGAATACGACCGAGCCACGCAGAAGCACACGGAAGGAACATTGCAACATCGAGCCACGGGAAACTCCGCCGCCACCGAGTTGGCTGGTAATCTCTCGGGCCACAGAAGGCTTCTCGGCAACGTTGAGGACCCTGTGTGGCAGACGTGTCACTGCTATTCCAAATCGCTACGGAAGCATGAATGTGCCGGCCTGATTCCACCGGGAGCCATGGCTCAGCAAAGACGGCCATGGGAAAATGTAGCCTAGAAGTGCTCCAAACCCTGTGAGGTGGCAAGACGGGCAGGCTCGGCAAACAGGCACCAGCAGAGTAAAGGATGTTTAATGATGTTTATAATGTGTGGCCAATGCTGTTACGTAATGTTAGAGCTGGTTTGCTGCGTGGAATTGAGAAAGTCTCGGTGGACCGGAGCCTGAAGGCTAACCAGCCAGCAGCTCGGATCACAACCTCTTCGACACCCAAAGGATGCAGATTGGGCTCCGGCAGTTGCTGAAAGGTCTTATCTCGGCGGTACAGGCATAAGGCGTGTCACATCAGATCATCAGTCAAAAGCTTAACTAGAACGTTGCCTGCTGGCGAAAACCAGTGCTCTCCGGACCGTTTGTGCTATGCGTGCTGTTGACCACTGCAGTCCAGCAGCTGTCTATGTTGGCGAGGCGTTGCCGCCGTCTCCTCAACAAATCGACCTGAGTTCGCTGTAGGTGCGGAATATGCTGAGGGCTCCCTGTATATAATGAGGCACCCTAAGAATAGTATGACATTATGACCAATTACTTCGGTAACATCACCTCTTTGCTCCAGGCGTTGTAGCGCAACCTCTTTCGGGTGACCTTGGCCAGTCGAGGGACAGTACGTAGCTCCCTAGAGCCAGCCTAAATTCAGTTGACAGGCAAAGACTGCGGCATCGAGATTTTGCTGCTCCTCGTCTGTGAGGCCTCGGTGCATGATTAACCAGCAGCATATCGATGATCTTTCCCGGAAGTTAGCGACCTGAATTCTGAAAACTTCGGTGTCGGACATTCCACGTTTTTGGGAGACCTGGGAAGGTGGGAACAGTCACAAGCACTTGCTGTGGGGTGCTCTAGCCGACTCTAGCCACTCCGAGCAGCAGACTCTCCACCCAGCGTCTGGCCTCAACGCGGCTTGCGGATTTCGAAAGCATCAAACGGGGGCTCAGTTGGCCCAAAACGGGAGGCGTTTGCAGCGAGCAGAAGCTCACTTCTCGCTCAAGGACCCCGACCCAGCATCTCCGCCACAGCGAGGCGCTGCTCCTGAGAAAGGGAGATTATGAAGAGAGCCTTCTATAAAGAAACTCTCCCTGCTGCTTCCCAGGAGAGAGGCGCTCTCTCTTGGCACCTCCACCGCCAAAGATCGCTCACAGGCTCGCTTTGCGCCCTGGCATAGACCGCGGACCTCAGTCTAAGGAGACGCGGGATTGATGCCGCAGATCTATGCAGAGGCAGCTGCATGCAGCGGAGCAGGCTGAAAGGTGGGGCTCCTTGGTATCCGGCAACCAGTGACCAGGAATGATGACATGTCAAAGTGTGGTAGTAGTGGTAGCATTGGCAGTAGCAGCAGCTGCTGCATCTAGCAACAGGAGTAGCGGCAGGTCGAAGGACCAGCAGCAGCAGCAGCAGCGGGAGTCGTCGCTTCTGGTACCGAGCAGTAAAGCAGCGCAGCAAGCAAAGGAATCTCAACCTAGCTATGACTGCACAGAGAAATTGTGCTAGCAGTAGCTACCTAATATCACTGCAAAGGGCACTGAAGCAAACTGAGCGACTCCAAGTTTGTGAAGAGCTCCGCCATCTCCAGTTCTTCCTTCCGGCTGCGCGAAGAAGAGATACTACAGCAGTACAGCACTATGGCCCTGCTGGGAATTGCCCTTTCAAAGGGTACCCCAAAATCGAGAAACAGTTGCGAACAGCTGTGGTGCAGATGCGGCTCTACTGATATCTACCTCGCCTCGATGCATTCCGCACGGCCAAGGGGGTGTAAAGACGGAGGAGGGGCAAAGTGAAACAACCCTCCCACCGAACCCAAGCAGCTTTGGCTTCGGGCCTTCGCAGCCGGCTCAGACTTCGCTCGCTGGCGAAGCTTTTCGACCTGAGCCATGGGCAAATGATGCCAATGATGCCTGAAGTGGCCAACTCTCTTGTTTTGACTCATGTACTCCAGAAACTACACTGTGGTGCCTGAACAAAAACATCCTAAGGGCTCTTGGAGTCTCTGAGAGGCTACGACGAAACCATCTCCATCCACATGCGGCAGCACTTGTGTCTATGGTGCAACCGAGATTCTTCAGAATCCTGCCTCCTTGGGATTGAAGAATAACTTCCAGTGTACATGATGCTCAGGCTCTCTTTGACGGCGACCAAGGCTCTGCCCGTCCGGATCATACTCATCAGACTCTTCGCAATCCACCTGGCCAGCCATGACACCTCTTCTTGTCGATCTGCCCATCTATCCGTCTACCGCATGTATATGTTGTCATGGCAGGGGAAGAGATGGTGAGATAGGAGAGGGAGAGGACAGAGAACGAGAGAGAGAGGGAGAGAGAGAGAGAGCGTCAGAGATTGAAGCAGAAGCCCACACACACACACACATGATAGCACATGTGCATGCATGTACGCTCCGATCTGTCAATCGGCTTGCCATTTGGCCTTCATACCTACAAGTCAATGCATTTATATGACATGTCTGACTTATCTGTGGATTGCTTGTTCGGGAGGCACTGATCTGAGCTGCTCACATGGAAGTCATCGTCCTCCTGTGCTGAGATCCACTTCACACATGTGGTATTGCGAGTGCTTGCATTCTGTCATCGTTTCTTCTGGCAAGATCGCTCGAAATAGCGTGCACTTCACATCGGTCCTCTTCATCGCGGGCATCATATGCCTGGCAACTTGCATCCAATCTCTCCCGAAGCCGCGCCGTTCCGCCTTTCGCATGGCCTTCTGTGCCAGGTCCATGGCAAACTTTAAGGCTTTGGCCTGACCAGGGACGGGGCGTGCCCATGTCATGATTCGGGGACATCAGGCAGCACGGCAAGTCGCCGGACGGCCTGGCCCGTGATCTTTGACAGAGCCTTGCCGATGTTGTCGCCCGTCGCCTCCGACTTTTCTCCCACCGCTGCGGCCACGGCAGCATCGACCCCTGCCTGCTGAACTAGTAACTAGCAGTAGCATGGAGCCGCTTCCATGGGCACGGTGGAGCAGAACGCAGTGATCCCAGCCTGACTGACTCGCCGACTCTGTCGCCGGCTGCCCCGACGAGGCTTCAAGGAGGACTTCGGCTTGACAGCTTCCTCTGTTTGCAGCTCCTGCCACAAGATGTTGCCTTGTCACTGGCTGTCATGGCTACAACTTAGCTCCAAGACGTGCCAACCGTTCATGTCGCCTGGCCAAGGTCGTCGTCGAACATAGACATAGCAGAAACCTGTGGCCCCCCAAAACATAAAGCGACTAAGGACTGTCGGCAAAACGTCATGCCCAAGCTCGTTTCAGCTGCTTCGCCGGCCTCTGGAAGGATTTTTCGTGGCAACTGCAAGAGACATCGCCGTACCTTGCACCCTCTTGTAAATGTCTTAGTACCTTACACATGATACCCCATGATGATGCTCCAGGAAAGTAGGGTCTCCATGCGCAGCGAGCCCTGGTTCTGAAGATGGAAGTGCTGGCCCCCGCACATGTATTCAGTATTCATGCGGACAGCTGGGACGGCTGAAGAATTGCCACACGGTAGGCAGGCAGACATGCTGGCTCTAGCACATAGGCGCGGTAGCATGTTTCCCCGGTGCCAGCACATCCAGGCAGTGACGGCTGCGTCGATGGCCTCTCTGCCCGTCAGGCTTCTCTGGTACTTCAGCACTGATGCCATCCGATTCTGTGCTTGATGTGCTGTTGCTTCTGCTGGCGCTGGCGGGTCTAAGCATCCTGGATGCTGTCGAATTCTCACAAGCCTTGCCCCAGCCGCCTGAAGAAAGGCTTGCTGAAAATATGTGCAATTCGCTAGCCTTCAAGGCTTCAACGATCGCACGCTTCAACAGTCAGGGTTCTAACCTGAACCGCATGAATCGAACCAAGTCACTAAATGAGCTGTGGTTCGGAGCTCCTGTGAGATTGGACTTCTCATGCCTCCTACCTGTCCTTGTACAAAAGGGCTGCTTGAATTAAGCTGCCCCAAGGAGAACCGACTACATCATTAGCACATCTGCAGAGCATGCAGAGCCACTCCTGTCGCCCTGGGCCTCACCAATACTGCCAGTCCTTTGAGGTGCCTTCACGCCTCAGACTCGGTGACATGCTCGTCTCCTCTTCTGTGGGCCCGTGCTCTGTCTGAGGCAGGTGCGCAGGTTTCAGGAGCTGCGGATTCCTGCGAATCACCCAATCTAGACTCAGACAGACCAAACTTGACGGCCTGCTATCACTGAGCATTTGCAATGCAGTTGCTCACCGCAGCTCCGTCCTGGGAATTTGGCTAAAGGAATCCGGCTGCGAGGCCTGAGTGCGAGCTGTGTAGGCGGCTGAGGATCGCCTGCACGGCCAGGATGCTGAAGCAGCAATCCACGAGTTGTGTCACGACGTTCCCAGCCTGCCGTCCACGTCAACACTCACCTGGCTCCTTAGCTTCTCGTCGAACGAACCGCCCCTTTCTCGCGCTCTCTGCAAGCGAGTGGCTGCAACGCGCTGTCCTGGCATCGTGGGCTCTTCATGGCTCTTCGCTCATCCCCCGCAAAAGGCGCGGCCGGTCCTGCAGCCCAGGCCGGGCAGGCACGTCCTGCAAAAAAAACACCGTGACTGGCGGCTGGCGATCTCCTAAGAACTAGCCTACAGGTCATTTCAGCCTGTTCCGTGCTCACGACCGTCGACCGGACACAGACTGCGACCCCCTGCAATGATCTGCTGCATCGCCGCACCGAATTCATGCCGACGAAAGCTGTAGGGCTGGAAGCGAAGGCTTTTAAGTTTAGTGTGATTGCAGTTGTATGCAGCAGCATTCGCGGTAGCGTGTCATGCAGGATGTTCGTGGAGCGCGAGCGAAGCATTGTTATGCTCACGACGGCTGTGGTACTGGCACCCTCCGAAAAACGTTGTATTTCGAGTGTTGGCTAAGGCGGACTACGTGACTGAGACAGCAGAAGAATGAAGCCGATCATGAGCGAACTTCACTCGAGTTCGAGCAATGAGGTGACGAGTAAACAGCAACCAACCCACGATCACCATGACAATAACAATCAGAACATGAGTGAGCTAATCGACGGTTCCGGTGCCTTGAGCGCAAGCGCCAAATCCCGCTCGGACCTTCAGGCTTACAGAGAACTGCATGTGCTACACAAAAGTGGGCAACAGGGTCCCTGACATCGCAGCATCTCTGAGGGCAAGCTCCTGGAAGGTGGACTTTTGGCTTTCGGCGGTCCGTGGCTTTGAGGCCCGTGTCCTTGCTGGTGAGCTGCGGGTTGTCCTGGTAAAGCTTTGCGACGAAACGCTCCTTGCTCCGTGCTTCAACCGGGGGCCTGGATCGCGAGCGAAGATCCAGCTCCCAGCCCCTGAGAGACATGCGCTGGCATCCGACGAGCGACCTCCACCTGTCGAAACACACTATGGGCCCGGCATCCTCCGGGGTGACCTTGCTCACCTTCGGTGGCCTCAGCTTGGCTCCAAGGCGGCGCCACTGGCGCAAATCTACTCCCGACCTCTTCTTGTAGATCCAATACCCGGATGCGGTGGCTACAAGAAAGCCAGCTCCTCTCTTCACATGCCACGGGCGATACCTACCAAGTCTCCCTCTCTGCAACGGTTCCAGGTAGCCTCCAACTGCCACCGCCCAATAGATCACGACCATGGAGTCCAGGCCCTCCCTGTGGGACACACAGCTGGGGGGATGGCAAGAGAAGTTTCAGGCTCAGATGCTGCTTCCAGGTTTTCGCGCGGTGCGCTTTCCTACTGTGCCGAGGTGTTGGGCGGTGCTTTCGAGAAGGAGACGTGCGACCGGCCAAGCGGCAGTGCTGCGATGTCCGGCAGATCCGGGGGTGGACTGCAGCACCTGGCAACGCGTACAACTCGCAGCACATGCTTTGGCCAGGCTGGGGCTGAGCTCACCCGCAGAGCTTGAAGCGATCCTCCTCGGTGAAGTTGTAACTCGAGCCTGGAAAAAGGAGATGTTTCGGGAACATTGCGACAATGAGGCAGAGCGCGAGGCCTATTTCGCTCACGTTGTCGATGCCGGGAATGCGCGGCTGTCGGATCAGGTTCACGGCCAGGACAGACACGATGCCATCACTGCACACGGCTGCTTGCTGGCAGAAGTGCTCGTGCACCAAACAGTGCAAGAAGCCTGCAGTAGAACACTGGCTCTCCCAGAAAATCCTCGCCGCAATCTCCTGGTCCAGCCTCGGGCTCAAAAAGGCACAGAGAAAGTAGCAAGCCTGTATTTATCTGTTGAATCTCTGCCCCGCACATTGCGCTTGTCGTTGATGGCAGGATATGCAACCAGTGCACCGTTTGTGTTGACCTGCTATGACACAGAGATCTCGAGGAACCTGGATGGGCACACTGGGTACGGAGAACTGAGGTGCTTCCTAGACCCGAGGTGCGCATGCCACCACCCCACGAATTTGCTGTCTTTCCTTCTTTCTTCCCGCAACATCTGAGTCTCCCGGGCACTCTGTGTCGCAAAGTCATACTGGTTCCGATCATGTAAGGCTTCTACACAGTCGGAGTGGCTGGAAATTCTATCCTTAAGGAGAGGCAGAGGGCGGAACAAGATAGAGCAATCCCTAGAACCGAATTTTCCTGTCAATGTCAGCTAATGCTCTACAGCAATGGGTAAGTGACACTGGATAGCCAGAGACGAACAAGACAATTCGAGACAACAAACGATCATGACAAGAAACAACAGGCAGCGGCACACAAGACTGAAGAGGTACGCTGCAATAGAAAGTCATCGTGTGCTATAACAACGACTCGCTTGATAATTCCGAACGCCGACTCGGAAATGAATCTGGCATCTAAAGCACAATGTGCTGAAGAGGGTGCAATGACTTACAATCGCATATAACACTATGTGGAAAATCCTCCTTCCTTTTACGCATACATGTACGTCATATACCTTTGCATATTTGCACATATGCACATTGAATGACAATTTGGTCATTTATATGTCCTATTATAGGCTATAGGCAATCATTTCCAAAAAGCTCATGTATCTCAGTCTTAGATACCAGCATCTCATAGACTATGAGAACCTGCAGCAGCGCATGCGAGCAACATCACAGTACATTGTATGTAAGAGCCGACCACCGTCCCGAATTGCAAACATCTACACAAAAGGAACCGATAACAGTACGCCGATGTGTGCAGCGTTATACACGGCACCATAAATGACATGCAATAAGAACATGCTCTAACACATGATACCAGTATATATACCAGCACGGTATGGTACATTGTGCATGAAAGCCTCTCCGGCTCGGCAGTTCATGTCGCCGCAAATTCCGTCGAAGACCGAAGACACGAAGTCCGTGCAGCGCCTGAGGGATTGACTTCTTTCGACCGTGTTGTTCCGTCCAGGCAGACTGAGTGCCTGACACTGCCAAAACGCCGGCCTGACCATTGGGACACCTGAGTCACGCCGATGGTCAGAATGTACTGGGCGAGACTGGCCTTTTGGAGACAGCCACCCTTTTGAGGGACTGTTGAAGGGCGCACTCCGTGTTGCGAGGCAAGTCTTAGACAGACATCACTTGCAACTGCCCAACAAAGCGGCTGCACCTGTTTGGAGGAATAAAGTGCGCATTCCGTCAGTCTCTGCCCTGCCGCAAGTCAGTGGCGGCGTCCCGTGTCACTACCCTCGCACTACAAAAGGAAAGCCGAAAACTCCGAGCCAATTATTCCATCAGCATCACTCTCGTCGACTGACGAGCGACCGTCGAAACTCAAAAAGACCCACGTCGCTCCGGAGATTGGTGGTCCGTAGGCTTATCGAGGAGCTTGATACTTTTGAGTCTTAGTCTTTAGCCCTGTCTATTCGCAATAGAGGGATTGGCAGACTGAGGCGCTGACTGCACGGAGGCCTGTTGCAAATGCCTTACAGTTTCGGAGTAGGAGGCACCAGGCAGATCACCAGGCATGTTCCCAATCATTTCCTTTCTAACGAGGTCTAGATTGATCAGACAAGGTACTCGATGTAGGGCACGGAGACCTTGCTGGCTCATTCGTCGACTGTCACATGGTTAATGCGCAACGGAGCTGAGAGCAGCGACGTTCGACCCGTCCCTGGACTCGGTGAATTGCGGAGGGCAGTGCCTAGCAGAGTCTTGCGATGGAATCCTTGACACAGGGCCCTCACCGGGAGCGCCTTTGGCAGGTGCCCTCACCAGCTAAAGCCACGACCTTCAGAAACAAGCGAGGTCGGAAGCCAATGCTACCCTCGGCATCCCAAGCTTCCAGCAGTGTTGTTGCAATGCAACTCCACCGTGCCCACACCGAGGCCACTGCAGGTGCCTTCGGCCATCTTCGAACTGATCTTTCCAGCAGAACCACGGCGAGACAAGGCTGTCAAGTTAGCACCAGACCATTGATCCTGGTGCCGTGCGGAAAGGCAGGGTACCTCAATATCGCACTGACACAGGCTGAAAGGCAGCAAAACTCCACCGCAGGCTCAGAATATGGCAGCATCTCCTTGCCACTATGGAACTACCTACGTCATCTTGGGCCACCACCTAAGATCCACACCGTTGGCATCAACAACCTAGGAGCGAGAATGCCTGACCTCTGGACCTGGGGTAGAATTCCCCAATTTCACCAGACGCTCGGTTCGGCACAGTACCCGCCGCACAGCCATACAAACACTGACCTTCAACGACCTTGCTTCCCACAGCACACGCGCAAGGAGCTAGACCACATGGTCCCCTCCTTCCCCCGCCTCCACCTCGCCGTCAAAGCAGCGAACTTTGATCTCACCGACCTGCCAGCGCAAAAGACAGCAGGTAGAGTGTCCATTTACCAGAGTTCTCTGACTCGCCGCGCCTCCGGACAAACAATGGAAACCTTGACAGAACGTTGCCAGTGCCCCGGCAAAGCTTTGCTTCATGCTGCAACGACCTCAACCTCACAGCAGTCCAGTCTCATGAAACCTCTCCGGGGCTGCAGCGAAGTCTTCGTGTTCCAATCCGAAGTACCTGATGAACTCTCTGAGAAAAGATTCCTGACTTCGCACGCAGGAAGTAGGCAGCCCCGGGACTCGGCTCCCTGAGCAACGCCGGCGCCGCAGTGGGCCAGGCACTGGCCGGAAGCTACAGACACCTGGGAAGTCTGGACGCGCAGTCAATCAAGGTGTGCCCTCGATGAAAAACCTTCAACCGGCCGGAGGTGCAACACTATCCGTGCAGAGCAGACGGACAGAGCCGACGTAGCCCTGAAAGGCGAGGGCAGAAGACATGCGGATGGCAGCAGATGGCGTGGCCGTAGCTTAGTGACTTCTCCTTCCCGTCTTTCCCGTGCCCTCGACTCTGAGGACACGGCTGTAGGGCACTTCATCTCCCGGCTAACTTCTCCATGCTCCATGTCGTCCTCGCTTTGAGGGTCCACGGCACACTCCGGGCCAACATGTTCTCTTGGGCCGGCACGTAGCCAAAAATCACGTCATCCCTGCACTGAGCTCTTTTGCGACTCTGCGTTCTGGTCAGACTGTCTCACCCTCGATTTACTCTTATCAAACTTGGCCATTCATTCTTGACGTCAACAAAATGTAAACTACGACAGACATATTGGCACGGGCTCGGGACCCAAACAAATTTTAGGATCGGAATCTGTGAGCTGGAACAGGCCAATCCATCGCACTGCAGCGAAGGGCCTCAAGGCTGTGGCACCCTCGATACAGTTGCGCAAGCACTGGCCCGTTTCGATGCCAACCTCACCATATGCAGGGTTGTCGCACCATGCACCTACTTCATTTGTCAAGACTGCTCAAGGCACCGACGGCCCCAGCAAGGCACCGGAGTCGGAGCTGACCGATGTAGCCTGTACTCTCGAGAACGGCACTGAACAGGCTGTGAGACTGAATCAACTGCCACAAAGGCGACTCAATCTGGCCTGCTGGACCTGAGCTTCTGCAAATTCCGGCAGCTGCACACCATAGCACACCCTCTGTTCATGTTCCAGCAGATCGTAAGGTGTGCTAGAACCTGATTTTCAACCAATACTTCTGTGGTCGGTGCAGGCAACCAGTCGCGTCTCATTGTGCTGGATCTTTAGGTGGTTGACCTGAGTTCACACGAAAGTACGGATATGCTACGTCGTGCTACGTATATGTGGTGATGCCCCCGTAGATCCGAGCTTCTTGCCAAGTATCCAGTCGGACCCATAAACCGCCCGGCCTGGCAGATGGTAGTCCCATCCAGAATGAAAGTGATTTTGAAGGAATTCGAGGCTTCTGCACTGGAGGTCGGATCGGGATCCCTTTAACCAGTCTGAAGGAGCTTCAAGCTCCTGACATCCCAAATGCCTGGCAGTGGGCATCGCAGGTTCCGCTCTGGACCTCCATGTTGCCGTTCACGCACCTCTCGCACTGCAACTCTGGGTTCGATGACGAATTCGTTTCTGCTGCCAAGGTGCACGATCGTCACCTTGCCTACTGCATAGCCCAGCGGGCAGTCCGGCTCGGCCTGCCCCGTCGCATGTAAGAAGCATGCGTGTAAAGAAAGTCGCGCATGCTCGCACATGTGCTCGAGGCAAGCTCCCATCCAGCAAAGGGGCTGTGAAGCCACTGACCAGGTCCGGGTGAGAGACAGTCGCACCACCTGGAAGCACCTCAGGCAAGCAGATATGGCACGACCCGGACCATCAGCTGGCATTGCCTGGCATGCCTGCAATAGCAACAAGCAAAGGCCAATGCGCCAAGTGAGCTTCTGCCATACTGGACGTATGCTGGGCTTCCGCGTCTCGTGTCGGCAGTCTGTTGGATGAGTTCAGACATGCAACCCCTCCGGCCATCTGCTGCTGCATGCCAGAATGATCTCCTGAATAGCTCCAACTGGGCGCCCAAGGCTTGCAACCAGCAGGATAAAGCTGTTGGCATCAGGAGTGTCTTGGAAGCTGAACGCGGCAGACATACCAGGACTTAGGATGCTGAGACGGACACAAAGTCTCCGGCGAAGCAGCCTAGCTGGCAGTTGCCCACGACCTGGTGGAAACTCAGCTCATGCCAATGTAGAAAGTGAGCGATGGGCAAAATTCGTTCACACGAAAGCGGTCACTGTCTTGATAGTATCTTTTTTTTTTT